CATGTGACACTGAAGACTGGAGTAACGATGCTGAAAATTCAGCTTTGATCACAGAAATAAATTACAGTTTAAAGTATATTAAAATAGAAAACAGTTATTTTAAATGGTAATAATATTTCACAATATTACTGTTTTTTCTGTATTTTTGATCAAATAAATGCAGCCTTGATGAGCAGAAGAGACTTCTTTTAAACACATTACAAATCTTACTGATCCCAAACTTTTGAACAGCAGTGCATATATATTTATAAAAACTATATTTATAAAAACATTTTCTCATCCCACAGTCATAGTGCATGATCTGCAAAAAATAGTTCTGTGAAAATAGTATTGTGTCATTTTGTTTTTCAGGTTTTATTTTGAGGATGTTTAGATATTTAAAAAAAAACAGAGAATATGCTTTTTTTGCAGTGCAGCGGTGAGTTGCACGGATGTGATCTTTTAAGTGCACTACACAGTGTGATGTGAAGATGCAGTGTGGGAGCAGAGGAGTGGTTTTGGGTGTGATGGATGCAGACTGCAGTGCTGTAGACTCACCACATGTCCAGACAGGTGGAGTAGTCTGTGGATCCCAGCAGCACGTCTGGAGGGCGATACCAGAGCGTCACCACCTCATTAGAGTACGTGTGGCTGGGGACCGACTTCGCACGGGCCAGACCTGCACCAAACACACACACCATCATCAGAAGTTTGAAAAAACACATCGCTCTGGATAAAAGCATTCATGCAAATATCACTGTGCAAGTCATTTCCTATCACAGATTCAAAGCATTAAAAATTGAAATGTAACGGTCTGTCAATGCCACTCATTCCTCTACAACCCAGTTTAGTTTGATCCAGTCCACGTTTTTGTGTCTATTTAGATTATTTAGATATTTAGAATATACTCACACAAAAACACCATTCAAGTTCAGTAGGCATTATGAAACCATCTTTTATATATACAGTACATCTTTTATAACATATAATATCATAAAATATATTATATATTAACATATCTAAAAATATTATCATAAAATAAACAACTATTATGAAAAAAAATTAAAAAGATGCAAATATATAAACATACAGATACATATAAAATATAAATATACAACTATCATGATATATTAACATATAAACATAGACAAATATAATATCATAAAATACACAACTATCAAGATATATTAACACATAAAAATATAGAAAAATATTATATAATGAAAAATATACAACTATCATGATATTATATTTGTATATATTTATATGTTAAAATATGATGATAGTTGTATATTTTCTGATATTATATTTGTATATCTGTATGTTAAATATAAAAATATACAATTATCAAAATACTTTAATATATACAAATATAATATGAAAAAAATATACAACTATCATATTTTAACATTTAAAAATATAAAAATATAATAATATTATGAAAAATATTCAACTATATCATTTTAAACATATTTAAATAAATAAAAATATAATATCATAAAAATCATGATATTTTAATATATAAAATACACAAAAATCATGAAAAATATACAACTATCACGATATTATATTTAGTAAAACATATTGATAGTTGTATATTTTTATGATATTACGTGTGTGTGTGTGTGTGTGTGAGTGAGTGTGTGTGTGTGTGTGCGAGTGAGAGTGTGTGTGTGTGTGTGTGTGTGTATACATATAGATGTCATACGTGTTAAAATATTATAAAAATATATAACTATCATGATATTTGTGGTGGTCTAGATCAGAGAATCTCAAATGTTTTTGCTAAAATCCCAGTTTAACTCTGGGAACAGCTTTCTGTCGGTGGACATTTACTTCTAACAGTTGTTAACATCTTCTAAGTTCGCTTAACTGAAATTCCGACACTAGCCACAGTGAGATCATAGGTTCGATTCCCGGAGCAAGCAAGAACTGATAAAAATGTGTGACCTAAATGTCAGCGCAGGTCTCCGCTCTGAAACGCGCCGTCCTCCAGGTGCCGAGGCGTCTTTAATTAACCCGTTTGACTTCCTGTGTTCGGGGTGTTTAAAGCGCTCTGACGGGACGGGAATAGCGGCGGTGTAATTTGCAGTCAATAATCCTGGGCTAAACAAAGGGCCGCGTCAGAGAGAGTGAGAGGCTGTTAGTCCGGATGCGCGAGAGGCTATCATTTACCCCGTGCAGGGCGGTTCACGCGCGACAGAGCCTCTAATCATCATTACACTCAGCTCAAGCGTAACAGCAGCGCAGCCGCATCTGAGCGCCTAACTGATGGGAGAAAACCGGGGCGGTGAGAGGTCAGAGAGGTCACAGATGATGAAGGCAATCGAGGAAGAGGAGGAGGAGGGAGGACGTCCTGTCCTCGTCCCGGGCCGGTCGTCATGGCAAAACAGCGGGTGCGAGCCAGGTCGTCTTTGAGTGAGGTCTGCGCCGCTTCAAAGCGCTCAGGAACTCCGCGGGTCTCCAGAGGGGGTCAAAGGTCAAGCTGAGTGAATTATACATCACTCACTGTCCCAGAGTCACATGACAGAAAGATTGTCAAATCACTCAATTCTGTGATTTTATTAAACAAATGTATATGCTACCGCAGTGATTACATGTGTAGTTCATGATAAAAAAATATACAAAAACATCATAGCTGTATATTTTTCATGAACACTGTAAATTAACACATAAAAACATAATATAAAAAATATCATGAAAAATAAACTACTACATGATATATTAACATACTGTACATATAACAATATAAAACTATCATGATAATCTAACATATATAAAAATATACAAAAATAATATCATAAAATATACATGCTAAAATATCATGATAGTTGTATTTATGATAATATATTTGTATATTATATATATTTTAATAGTTGTATATTTATGATATTATTTCTGTTTTATACATGTAAAATATTATGACATTTGAATATATATGTGTGTATGTTTAATGATAGTTGTATATTTTCATGATATTATTATCTGTATATTTTAATGTTAATATGCACTGTTTCATGAAAAAATACAACTATCAAGATACTTTAACATGTATATTTTGATATTATATTTGTTTATTTTCCTATATGTTAAATTATGTTAGTTGAATATATATATATATATATAGAGAGAGAGAGAGAGAGAGAGAGAGAGATTCTATTATGATGTATTAACATTCACATTTGTAGTTTGTGTTTGAGAACTATTAGCTTAACATGGAAACATCAGTATTGATTGACAGAACCAGTAGTGAAGTAGAACACTGAGATGCTGCCAGTGTAGGGCACTTAAAATCACACACTTGAGGTGAATGATCTTTTCTAGATTATGCACAAATAAGCTTCTATTTTGGTTGAGATGTTAGCAGCCTATGAAGGCAGTAGACAGCATGTTTGAAACAGCATCTGAATGAAATCTGCACAAACAGGGATTTAATAACACACACACCACACACTAAAGCACCGTTTGATTAAACGCATGCCTCGTGTACTCATCCATCAGTGCAGACTATGATCAACATGATTCAATATCTCCAGCGTCTGCGGTGATCAGGAGGGGTTTCATTACGGAGCGGCTCATTTCCACACATTTTGAGCTGCAATTACAGACTGTTTGGCAGTAATTTATGTTGGCTCTGATGAATCCAGACGCCGCCTATTAGCGTCGCCTTCTCATATGCAGAATTCATAAAGTCCCTTATCAAGATGTTAATGAAGTGAATGAGCCGTCAGCACAGATTAATGTCAATAACTGCTTTATCAAAGTAACCGGCAGATGTGATTGTGTGTGTTACAGTGTGAACGTACTCTACCAGTCGAAAGTTTGGGATGTGTTTTAAAGAAGTCTCTTCTGCTCACCAAGCCTGCATTTATTTGATACAAAATACAGCAAAAACAGCAATATTGTGAAATATTTTTATTATTTAAAATAACTGCTTTCTATGTGAATATCTGTTGTAATTTGTAAAATGTAATTTATTTCTGTGATGCGCAGCTGTATTTTCAGCATCATTACTCCAGTCTTCAGTGTCACATGATCTTCAGAAATCATTCTAATATGCTGATTTGCTGCTCAAAAAACATTTATTATTATTATTACACTAAATAATTTATTACTTCAATAAATATTTTAATATATTTGTTAAAAAGTCACATATTTAAATGTATAAAACATTATTTACATTATTTACACAGTGAGATTATCCCTTGTTATAGTCTAATTGGTCAGTCTAGATCTTAAGACACAGTCTTAACATAGTATTATTTTTAATTATTTATAATTATTTACAAATTTTACATAATTTCTTGTTTACATATATTATTTTCAATTACTTACTATATATATAAAATTTTATTTATATATATTTTATGTTTTATTAATATATAAAATATATAAAATAATAAATGTACTGTAAACATTGTATTAAAAAAATGACACTTTATTTAAAAATGACACTAGAATTAGTTCTTTAAAGCACAGTCTGAACATCCTGTAGTGGCTGTGTTTATGCAGCTGGTCCCTAGCAACCACATCACATGGAAACCATAGCAACGCTCTACAAGCCACGCTGAACATCTAGCATAGCAACGCCCTGACAACCACTCACAACACCTGAAGCATCTGTTTCATATGATTATTTATAATGTCCTATCTACTGAAACAGAAGCGTGTCATGTGACGTCACACACTCCGGCTGCAGCAGAGTTTACGTGTGTTCAGTCTGTTTACATCTAGAACGAGTGAGTGTCGTGTTTCCCTGCAGATAATGAAGAGCGCTGGATTGATGCTGCTGCACACTTGTGGAGGACAGGAGGAGCCGCTGAGAGCCGCCGCTAACAGATCGGCTCCTAATGACCCCGCAGAGAGCCGCGGGGCCCCGTTTGTGCCGCGCCGCCCGGCCGGAGAACGAGACCATATGCTGCGGCCCGCCGGGCCAAAACGGCCCTTCAGCAGCTGTTAGAGACCACAGAGCCACCGAAAATACACCGTCCTGACAGCGCGGAGTCTGTGTGTGTGTGTGTGAGAGTGTGAGTGTGTGTGTGTGTTTCTGTGTGAGAGTGTGAGTGTGTGTGTGTGTGTGTGTGTGTGTGTGTCTCTGTGTGAGTGTGTGTGTGTCTCTGTGTGAGTGTGTGTGTGTCTCTGTGTGAGTGTGTGTGTGTCTCTGTGTGAGTGTGTGTGTGTCTCTGTGTGAGTGTGTGTGTGTCTCTGTGTGAGTGTGTGTGTGTCTCTGTGTGAGTGTGTGTGTGTCTCTGTGTGAGTGTGTGTGTGTCTCTGTGTGAGTGTGTGTGTGTCTCTGTGTGAGTGTGTGTGTGTCTCTGTGTGAGTGTGTGTGTGTCTCTGTGTGAGTGTGTGTGTGTCTCTGTGTGAGTGTGTGTGTGTCTCTGTGTGAGTGTGTGTGTGTCTCTGTGTGAGTGTGTGTGTGTCTCTGTGTGAGTGTGTGTGTGTCTCTGTGTGAGTGTGTGTGTGTCTCTGTGTGAGTGTGTGTGTGTCTCTGTGTGAGTGTGTGTGTGTCTCTGTGTGAGTGTGTGTGTGTCTCTGTGTGAGTGTGTGTGTGTCTCTGTGTGAGTGTGTGTGTGTCTCTGTGTGAGTGTGTGTGTGTCTCTGTGTGAGTGTGTGTGTGTCTCTGTGTGAGTGTGTGTGTGTCTCTGTGTGAGTGTGTGTGTGTCTCTGTGTGAGTGTGTGTGTGTCTCTGTGTGAGTGTGTGTGTGTCTCTGTGTGAGTGTGTGTGTGTGGGTGTCAGGAGACTCTCGCTCGAATCGCTCCGGCTCTAATTGAGTGGAAGAATCAGCGTTGCAGCAGGTGTGTGATAAGCAATCTGTTGGTCAATCTGTCTGTCTGTCTCGCTCACTTTCTCACCATTTCTCTATTTTCTTTCACTGGCTCATGTCTGTCTTTGCTGTGATTGCTCTTCACCTCCTGACCGCCTCTCATCACGTCTCTCTCCGATTCTTCCTCCTCAATTTCTCTCAAAGGTTTCACTTCCTACTGAAGAGCCCAACGGTGACGGCCACTTTTACAGAAGCTTTGCTTACTGAAGTGTTTTTCCTGTTCATTTTCTCTATTAGGATTGCAAAAACATTCTTAAGCTACAAAATCTGATTTGAAGCAAAAATTTGAAAATTAGACAAAAAAAATATATACAAAAGCACATCCTTACATTAAGTGAATGAGCAGCTCATCCCATGAAGCATTGTGACTAATATAATCACAATACAAGTATAATACAAAACTACTGTTATACTATATTACTACTGTAAGTAATATAAAAGTATATAAAATGTAAAAAATATATACAGTATATATATATATAATTTTTTTTATAATATATTTTAAGTTTATTGATAAATATTAAAAGCAGAGAGAGAGCAGACATAATGCTTTATGGGAGCAGGTGGACAACACTGTCTTTTGTTGTGATTTCAGTAAACAGCCAGCTAAAGGTGAACCAAACTATAACTAGTTTAACTATAACCAGTTAAACTATCAGTAACGGGTCACTTGTGTCCATCCTGCCGTTCCGGCTCGTTCTCCTCTCACTAATGGCTCTTCAGCTGCTGGTGAAACACGTGAGTCTCGTGTGTTTAGCTGCTGATCCAGACTCACAACAGACCTGTTCGCTCTCAAGTGCCTCTGGAAAGCACTGAAAGCAGTGATGTGTGTCTGTGTCTACCCATAATGCCCTTGTGACAGCAGACTGGACATATGGTGATACGACACACACACACACACACACACACACACTGGCACGACGGAACCAAACTGTTGCTGAAATAAAGACCAAAGCACCAGTGCTTGTTCAGTATCTGTAGCAGTGAATCTTTCAGTCAAAACAGCCACATCTAAATGATCGATATGAACAATTCAATGACTCGAGGAAGAGCAGGAAGCCCAAAACCAAACACCATAACAATACAGCCAGATGTTTTAATGACGATTACTACATGCCTTGCTTATTTTCACTAGATTATTACTGTATTTTCCTACTTGAATTGAGTTTATGTTTCTTGACATTAATGACTGAACAACAAAAACATAATTTTAAGCTATTTCAGAGCAAATACATAAATATCCAGATATGTATTACATATTCTAAAGGCTGAAAACTGAAACAAAAAGAAAAAAAAATACTGTTTTTTTTTTAAAGCTATATCCCTAATTACAACCAAATTACTTGAAAAGCCTCAGTCTGAAATGTGGTTAAAAACAACCAATGAGAGAGATTTTGGTGTGTGTGTGTGTGTGTGTGAGTGAGAGAGCGTGTGTGTGTGTGTGTGTGTGTGTGTGAGTGAGAGAGAGAGAGGGTGAAATTAACTTAAATGATTTTAGCAAATGGCTGCAATATAACAAAGAGTGAAAAATTTAAGGGGGTCGGAATACTTTCCGTACCCACTGTATATATTTTTTATGTATATACGTATAATTATTTATTTGTTTAGCAATTTAAGTTCAATATAAATTGTTTATCAGTTTAAAACCTGCTCTTACACAAATAGTTATATATAACTTTGATTAAAAAAAAAATAAACAATCTAAAATAAATAAATATTTTAACCTGATTCTTATTTAAATTTTGTTTATTACATATTAATATTTATCTATTTCATTTATCAACTCAAATATAAATAGTTTACTCTGAAATAAATATTCATATACAATATAAATACACACACACAAAAACACAAAAAGAAATTTTTTTTTTTAATATATATATATATATATATATACACAGTCATATTTATTAAACGTAATTATATATATTGGGCGATGACATATAAATAATATAAATTCATACAAATAAATAAAACAAATGTAATTATTGCCTCCCAATGGCTGAATTTTTTTTTTAAGTTGCTAAAGAAAAATTTAAATATTCATATTTACAAAAATATTTTATCATATTTAAATATTTATTAATTTATTAATATTTATTAATTTTTTATCAGTATAGTTTATCAATATATCTGTCAGAGTTAGTTTTAAACAAACTATTCATATTTAATTTAAATTGGTAAACATATGTAATTAAAAAGTGTTTATCCTATGAATGATCCTTTTAATTTTTAGTTAATGAGACCCAATGTGACTAGATTGTTGAGTCTGTGTTCAGCAGCGGGTTTCTCACCGAAGTCGGCCAGTTTGAGTTCTCCGGTGTCGCTGATGAGCAGGTTCTGTGGTTTCAGGTCTCGGTGAAGGATGTAGCGCTGATGGATGTAAGACAAACCCCTCAGTAACTGGAACAGGAACAGCTGCGGAAACACAAGATTCATGTGTAAGAGTCACAGATCACCTGCCAATCCATATATCACTTAAAACACAAATCAACACGTGTCAGTCAAACTGAACAGGATCCATTAGGCCTGGGTGATAAAACGGTATCGATATTTATCGACGGTACACCTTCTTCGATATCGATTGAAAAAAGAGGAAAAAAAATTAACTTAAATGATTTTAGCAAATGGCTGCAATATAACAAAGAGTGAAAAATTTAAGGGGGTCGGAATACTTTCCGTACCCACTGTATATATTTTTTATGTATATACGTATAATTATTTATTTGTTTAGCAATTTAAGTTCAATATAAATTGTTTATCAGTTTAAAACCTGCTCTTACACAAATAGTTATATATAACTTTGATTAAAAAAAAAATAAACAATCTAAAATAAATAAATATTTTAACCTGATTCTTATTTAAATTTTGTTTATTACATATTAATATTTATCTATTTCATTTATCAACTCAAATATAAATAGTTTACTCTGAAATAAATATTCATATACAATATAAATACACACACACAAAAACACAAAAAGAAATTTTTTTTTTTAATATATATATATATATATATATACACAGTCATATTTATTAAACGTAATTATATATATTGGGCGATGACATATAAATAATATAAATTCATACAAATAAATAAAACAAATGTAATTATTGCCTCCCAATGGCAGAATTTTTTTTTTAAGTTGCTAAAGAAAAATTTAAATATTCATATTTACAAAAATATTTTATCATATTTAAATATTTATTAATTTATTAATATTTATTAATTTTTTATCAGTATAGTTTATCAATATATCTGTCAGAGTTAGTTTTAAACAAACTATTCATATTTAATTTAAATTGGTAAACATATGTAATTAAAAAGTGTTTATCCTATGAATGATCCTTTTAATTTTTAGTTAATGAGACCCAATGTGACTAGATTGTTGAGTCTGTGTTCAGCAGCGGGTTTCTCACCGAAGTCGGCCAGTTTGAGTTCTCCGGTGTCGCTGATGAGCAGGTTCTGTGGTTTCAGGTCCCGGTGAAGGATGTAGCGCTGATGGGTATAAGACAAACCCCTCAGTAACTGGAACAGGAACAGCTGAGGAAACACAGATTCATGAGTAAGAATCACCAATCACACACAAAACACAACTGCGAAGCGATATATCATTTAAAACCCAAATCAACCGGATCACATCACACGCATCAGTCGAGCTGAATAGGATCCAGTAAATGTGTTATTTATTCCCATCTTCCTCATATAAAGCATTCGCAGTATATACTACCGGTCAAAAGTTTGGGATCAGTTAGACTTGTAATGTGTTTTAAAGAAGTCTCTTCTGCTCATCAAGGCTGCATTTATTTGATTAAAAATACAGAAAGAAAACAGTAATCTTGCAAAATGTTAGTACTGTATAAAATAATGGTTTCTATTTTAATATACATTAAACTGTAATTTATTTCTGTGATGTGCAGCTGTATTTTCAGCATCATTACTCCAGTCTTCAGTGTCACATGATCTTCAGAAATCATTCTAATATGCTGATTTATTATCACTGCTAGAAACTGTTGCTGCTTCATATTGTTTTGGAACCTGTGATACTTTTTTCAGGATTCTTTGATGACTAAAAACTTAAAAAGAAGAGCATTTATTCAAAATATAATTATTTTCTAACAATATAAATATTATTAACACATCCTCGCTGAATAAAAGTTTTAATTTCTTTCAAAAAAAGACAGAATAAAAATGTACTGACCCCAAACTTTTGAACGGTAGTGTATATTGTTAGAAAGATTCTATTTTAAATAAACACTCTTCTTTTTAACTTTTTATTCATCAAAGAATCCTGAAAAAAAGTATCACAGGTTCCAAAACAATATGAAGCAGCAACAGTTTCTAGCACTGATAATAAATCAGTATATTAGAATGATTTCTGAAGATCATGTGACACTGAAGACTGGAGTAATGATGCTGAAAATACAGCTGCGCATCACAGAAATAAATTCGATTTGAATGTATATTAAAATAGAAAAATGTTATTTTACATCATAATAATATTTCACAATATTACACTTTTTCTTGTATTTTTGATCAAATAAATGCAGCCTTGATGAGCAGAAGAAACTCATTAAAAATCGTTCTGATCCCAAACATCTGAGCGGTAGTGTATATTGTGCTTTTATGCAGTTCGATATCATCTGAGTGCATTCAGCAGCTTCAGTATCATCGGATCAATCCGAGCTTCACGCTCTCCGTGTGGAGTATTGATGAAGAGCAGCGTCTGATAGACGGACAATCGATGCACAAACACATCTGAGGCGTACACACACGCTCGTAAAACCTCACAAGTTTGGCACGCTTTGCAACGTTGCCTTCTTGTGAAAGCGAACTGAACTAAGAAGAAAATGCAACATTGTAACAAATTCAGTCTCGTTTCGGAATTTTCAAATGTTGAGCAATGTTCATCAATTATCAAAGGAAATATAAATCATTCACTCTGACAGAAATACTGCTACACAACATTTATTAAATATAACTACTGTACTGTATATATTGGGCAATGATATAAACAATTAATATAAATTAATCAAATTAAACCCATTTGTAGTTCAATAACCCAGCCCTATTGTTGTGAGTCGACTCTGATAGATGTTGACAGCAAATAGATCCATAAAACCCAACACGGTCACCTGGAATAATCGACAGGACTGAGACAAAGATGAAGATGAAGAGAGATAACAGGACAAAAGCAGGGTCAGCTGAACGCCGTGGGACGAATCTGCAGGATGAAAGAAGATCAATATCCGTCTGGAATACGGACAGGCCTCCGGTGACGGATCTCAATGCTGAGCAACACAGAGCTGCAGGAACACGGTTACAGTTTCCCGGACGTTTAGTCTTCAGTTCTGCTGCATCAGAACATCAAGATGTGTGTTGACAAGGATCCTAATGAAGCTGTTTTAAACAGAGCTCCTGCCTTCATTACAGCCTTGAAATAAAGATCCAGTCTGAAGGCCGGATGTGATTTCATTGCGGTGATGAGTATTAATAACTACAGAGCATCCGAGGGCGTTCAGACAGTTCATTCTGGGAAAACACTATCGCTGTGAGAACGAGTGTAATTTATCATGTGTACAGCCATATCTCCATATCTGAACGATGATCCATCTTAAGACTTCAATAATTCCACATGAACATATGAGCTCATATTGGTGTTTGATTATGAGCCTCAGCTCTCTCATGCATCATGACTAGTTACTTCACTAAGTGATCGGATGCACAGTTTTCACCTGCTGGATGATAAAACAGGTGGGAGAAAAAATAATAATAATGTTATTATTATTATTGTTGTTGCTGCTGTTGTTGTTAACCATTTTTTGTTTTATTAAATTATAAAAAATTAAACAAATTACTATAATGAAAATACTATTGTATGTAAAAAAAACAACAACAAGTATTAATAATAACAATAATATAAAAATACTATAGTACAGTAAAATAAAGAATATCATATTTAATAATAATAATAATAATTAAATATTGTATGTAAAATAAAAAATAAGTAATAATGATAATAATATATTATTATTATTAATGTTGTTGTTAAAATCTTTTTATTTTATCAAATTATAAAAATTAAATAAATTACTATCATAAAAATTACATGTAAAAAGTATATTTAAAACTGTTGTTGTTAACCATTTTTTGTTTTATTAAATTATAAAAAATTAAACAAATTACTATAATGAAAATACTATTGTATGTAAAAAAAACAACAACAAGTATTAATAATAACAATAATATAAAAATACTATAGTACAGTAAAATAAAGAATATAATATTTAATAATAATAATAATAATTAAATATTGTATGTAAAATAAAAAATAAGTAATAATGATAATAATATATTATTATTATTAATGTTGTTGTTAAAATCTTTTTATTTTATCAAATTATAAAAATTAAATAAATTACTATCATAAAAATTACATGTAAAAAGTATATTTAAAAAAAGTATTTAATAATAATTAGTGCTGTC